TTCTGTTCTTCAAATATCATCCCATGCTCTTGCAGCAAGGCAAATTCTTTTACTCATCTGTGTTTGATTTCTTTGTTTTTAAAAAATGTTTCTTTTTTAATGTCTTTGGCTCTTACATCATGCTAGTTTTCCCCAGTATCCCTTCCCTTTCCTCTCACAGCAAGCCATCCTTTATAACAAATAATTTTTTTGAGATAAAAAAGAAAAGAAGAAGAAAAAATTTGTTCAGCTGATCAAGAAAATTGAAATCCTTCTTATCCTTCAAGGTCCAGTTCAAGTGCCACCTCCTCTATGAAGCCTTCCATGATTCCTCCCCTACTCCTGCTGCTCTACTGCCCCCTCTGTGGTAACTCCCCTACTGCCCATCTCCACTGGAAATGTTCTTGCCATCCTCCGAATTCACATAGCACTTTATTCATACCTTTCTTGTGCACTTAGCACATTACATCTTGTAACAATTATTTGTATGCATATCTTCTCTCTACTACTAGATTGTAAGCTCCATGAGGGCAAAGACTAGGTCTTATTTATCCTTGTGTCTCCCTCACCAACTGGCACAGAATCCTTCTGATACATATGTCATGCTCCAAGGAATCTATGATATCATTTATGTGAGCCCTCATTTCAGTTCAGGCTGTGACCCATCATTGAACACAGCAGATTAATAAATGTTTGTTGAATAAACGAATGCCTGGATCCTGGTTAATGTCTGGCTCCAAGGAAGGAAAGCAGATAGATCTAGGAGAACTAGAGTGGGTTTTGAGGTGAGCTCTTGAAGAAAAAATTTCTAACTTTAATCTATAGTTTTTCTGTGAGTGACGAGCTGAATGTCACCAGAAGACTCAGAACAGAAACAAGTGAATGGATTTTATTGACCTGTCAAGCACCTTAAACTGCTGGGATTTGTTATAGGACTCTTCCCCCCCCCTTTTTTTCATTACTGAAACTTAAAATATAAGAAAACTTAAATATAAGAAAAAATATAAGAATACTTAAACATAAGAAAGAAAATAAAAAGAAACATATTATAAACTTAAATATGAAATAAAAGAAAAAAGCATGTTATGTAAAGTTATAGGACTTTCTAATGCTTCAAGGAGCTTCTAGCTCATCCATATGTGAATACTCTCTGTAGATATTAGAATTACAAATCCCTTTGTGAACAAAGAAAATTCTCACCTGGTAACCAGCCTTCTGGACATGAGAGTCTATGAATGTAAGATCATAGATTTAACAATAATAGCTAGCACTATATAGTGCTTTATGGTTTACAAAGTGCTTTACACATGTCAGCTCATTTAGTCCTCACCACAACTCTGGGAGGTAGGTGCTAATATTATCCCTATTTTACAGATGAAGAAACTGAGATTGAAATAGGTTAAATGACTTGCCCAGAGCCATGCAACTAGTTAAGTGTCTAAGGCAGGATTTGAGTACTCTATTTGAGTACCAGCTAGCTGCCCAGTTTTGAGCTAGAGGGGGCCATAGAGGTCCTCTACTCCAACACTTTCATTTTATAGATGAGGACATTGAGGCTTAGAGAAATAAAGAAACTTGCCCAAGTTCATACAGCAAGTAACAGTAGAGGTGAGATTTGAACCCAGGTCCTCTAAGTTTCTGAATCCGGGTCATTTCTACAGGCAGCTAAACCTTAGACATCACCAACAGTTGACCACCCATAGTGAAAGCCTTTCTGATTTGGTAAGACCTATCTGAGGTTGCACTCTGTTGGTTACAGCCTTTAAGCACCCAAGATTACCTCTTAGCCTTCAAGAATCAATAAATAAACATTTATTAAACACCTACTGTGTGCCAGATGCAATACCAAGCACAGGGGGCACAAAAAGAGACAAAAGATAGTTTCTGCCTTTAAGTATACAGTCTAATGGGAGTCTAAGGAGGCTGAAAAGGTTAGATTTTTATTGTTTTTGCTCAGTTGTGTCCTACTCTTCACAACCCCATTTGGGGTTTTCTTCGCAAAGATACTGGAGTAGTTTGCCATTTCCTTCTCCAGCTCTTTTTATAGATGAGGAAACTGAGGCAAGCAGGGTTAAGTGACTTGCCCAGGATCACACAGCTAGTAAGTATCTGAGGCCAGATTTTATCTCAGAAAGATGAGTCTTCCTGACTCCAGGCCCTACGCTCTATCCACTTTGCCACCTAGCTACCCAAAAGATTAGATTAGAAATTGTTTAATTTATAATTTTTGTCACTGATTTGTAAATTAGAAGAAACAGAAAGGTACCAGAATGTTGAGTGGGTTCTTCATGGATTATTTGTAGATAAGAAGAGCCCCTGAAAAGTAGGCAAGGAGGGGCTGCTATATTTTCAGGTGAAGAGAAAATCCATATAGTGAAATCATGGAGGTATTGAATATGTAAATGAGCTGCTTTTCAACATGAATCATTTGCATTGGGAGGTTATGATAGAACATTAGATTTGGAAGGAACCTTATAGATTATCTCGTTTGACTCTCCTCATTTCAAAGAGGAGGAAATGAAGGTCTAGAAAGGGAAAGTGCCTTGCTTGAGATACCAACGGCTAGCTAATGCCAGAGCCAGGACTAGAACCCAGCTCTCTGATTTCCATTTCAGGGAGGGCACTTCCCATTATTGCCTATTGGCCCTCCTTCTTGAGGCCCTCTGGGAAACCTAAAGAAGGAAGGGTTCATGATACAAAGTGAAATTGTTATTATTGTTGTTTGTCTTTCATTCTCTCTCTCTTTTTTTTTTTTTGCTAGGCAATGGGGTTAAGTGACTTGCCCAGGGTCACATGGCTAGTAAGTGTTATGTGTCTGAGGCCAGATTTGAACTCACGTACTCCTGAATTCAGGGCCAGTGCTCTATCCACTGCTCCACCTAGCTGCCCCCGTTTGCCCTTCATTCTCAAAGAGGACCGTGACATCAGGAAGGTGATACCATGACTTTCGAGTGAATTAGATTTAAGTTGAGGGAGGGCTGTGTAAAGTCACCAGCCTCACTTTTTCCTCCAGAGCCATCTGGGTCCAGTGGCAAGATATAAATCAGAACAACTGGAGATAGCCCCACAGAATGAAAAGAGGATGTAGTGAATAGAGCTGAGCCTAGAGTCAGAAAGACCTGAGTTCAAATCCAGCTTCTGACAATTACTAGCTCTGTGACCTTGAGCAAGTCACTTGACCTCTGTTTGCCTCAGTTTCCTCATCTGAAAAATAGAGAAAATAATAGTACTTACCTTCCAGGGTTGTTGTGAGGATTAAATGAGATAATATTTGTAAAGTGCTTAGCACCAAGCCTGGCACATAGTAGGTGCTATATAAATGCTATTATTATTAATGAAAAGATAACTAAATGAAAGCCCAACTGTGAGCAACCGAAAAAAAAAACCCAATAATGGTTATGCAGAAGAAATATATGGGGCAGCTAGGTGGATAGAATACCAGGTCTGAAGTCTGGAAAGTGAGTTTAAATCCAGCCTCAGATGTTTACTCGCTAGGTGACCCTGAGCAAGTCACTTAACCCTGTCTGCCTCAGTTTCCTCATCTGTCAAATGAGCTAGAGAAGGAAATGGCAAACCACTCCAGGATCTTTGCCAAGAAAACCTTACACAGGGTCCAGAAGAGTCAGACAGGACTGAAATATGGCTAAACAACAACAAAGAAAAGATGTGGAAACACACCATCCTCATCTCAGACTCTGCTGGGGAATCATAAGGACAGATGTTGCATACCTTGTCAGACTCAGTTTCTGTATCAGATTTTTCTTTAATGCAACTGTCTTTCTGCATTATAACGATGGTCCAATTCAGAGTAGGGGTGAGGGTTTTTAATATTTATTTATCTGTTTGTTTGTTTATATGTACATGATGTGTAAACAAAGGTCATCAATAAAACATGTTTAAAAGAAAGAATCAATAACAAGGTACATATTCAGGGGAAGTAGAGTTTATCCTGGACCCCAAACTATTTTACCCCTAAACTACCAATATTTGATGTGTAGCAAATAGAAAAAATTCTAGTCTAATATCCCCTCTTGGAGAAAGACAAAGGAAAAAGCACTCAGCCACAACTTTTATCCTGTTCCCCACAAAGGCAAAAATTGTCGTTTCCCTTGAAGAGGGGATGAGCCAGATCCTAGATCACCTTTCTCTCCATATCACACCCAAGCTGAGCCATCTTTACATTAGATAGCATATTTAATGCATATGTTACTGCTTGTTAAGAGAATACAATATTGAAAGGCTTCAGAATTCTGATCGATGCATTGAGTAATCATGACTCCAAGACCCCAGGGATTCTACCTCTCAGCAGAGAGGTGGAAATATAGGTATAGAATTAAATAGCTAGACAAACAGAGAGATAAATAGATTGATCGATTGATAGAGATACAAATATAGATGATATGTATATATACACGTACTTCCAGACAGATAATTTGTTAATATGTTTTGCCTGATCATACTTATTTGTTATATGAGAAGGTATGGAAGGGGCAGGGAAGAGAAGGGAATCATTGGGAGGTAATGGTGTTGTTTAAAAAGAAAAGGGCATCAATAACATTTAAAAAGGAAAAAAAACCCCTTGGTTTTCTTTAAAGCCAAATCCAAGGATGCAGCCCAAGGTATATGAACTGTCCCTGAATACATAAATCATCCTTAATGAGCTGTCAACGGACCAACCAGTGCCCAGGACAAGGAGTGTTCACACCCCATCAAGGAGAGGCCATCAAAGTGAGACAAAATGCTCAGCTTTTAACCTTGTTAACACAGCAGAGAAGGGGATAACCTTGATGTCCTCTTTCCACCCACCCTCTATATAGATGGGGACAGTAGAGAGAGCTGAGAAGTAGATAGCAAGAGCAGATGTGGAGGAGAGGCCAGGGGAGGGCAGCATGCAGTCTGTTTGGTGGGTCTGGGAAGGAGACAGCCGCAGACAGGCTGTGCCGCTCCCCAATTCCTCCTCTCCCCCTTGACTGAATCCCTGTCTTTTCCTCTTTCACCAACCAATACAGTGCTCTGTAAGAGAGGGGAGGGAGCCTGAGGCAATCACCTGGATGTGTCCCATGACTCAGGAGGAATCTGACTTTTCCTGGCTGAACCTAGAAAAGGACACTGTTGCAGCCAAAGCTGACGTGAGTTGTCTGCTTCTTTCCTCCTCACTATGGCCTCTTCATGTGTAATCTGAGGGAAAGATGTTAGAAAGGGGGCATTTTCCTAAACCCAAGTCACTCCACACTGCCTCTATCTATCTATCTGTCTGTCTATCTATCACCATATATGCATGTGGAGACATAGATACATATATATATGTATGTGTATACGTGTATGTATGATAATATATATATTATATAATTATATAATAGTATTGTTATATATCATGTGTGTGTATATATTTTTAAAAATAGTTCTTCAACGTCCCTATTTACCAAGAGGTTTAGATTAAAGCATTAAAGATTCTTCTCAACATGGAAGTATTTTTCTGGAATAAGCAACGTATTTGGATACTATCCCATGCCTTAGCATCAATTGAGTTTAATTATATGTAACTGAAAATAATCAATCAATCAATCAAAAAGCACTTATTAAGCAGTTACTATGTCTCAGACGTTATGCTAAGTGCCAGAGATGCAAAGTTTTAAAAAGAAACACCGCCTGCCTCAGAGAGCTTATATTCTAATAGGATAGGATGGTCCACGTAGGGTAAAGATAACCTGGATGGATAGCTGGAAGGAAAGAAGCATTTACTATGTGCCAGGCATCTTACAAATATTATCTTATGTGATCCTCACAGCAACTCTGGCAAGTAAATGCTATTATCATTCCCATTTTATAATTAAGGAAACTGAGGTAGGCAGAAATTAAGTGATTTGCCCAAGGCCACACAACTAAGTGTCTGGAGTTGGATTTGAACTCAGGCCTTCCTGACTCTATGCACTGTGCTACTAAGCTGCCTCTAGGGATGGGATGTGGAGCTATAGCTTTGTCTGGTGTTAAGGGCCAGCTAATAGATATAATTAACTAAATGGGTTCATTTTCACATGCTCAGATATCAGTCACATGAACTGGGTCCTGGGGGCTGGAGCTCCAAAGATGAGTGGATTATCAAATTAATTACCCAATTCAACCAACCACTTCTGGCAAATGTATATATATGATTCTGGACAAGTCACTGTATTTCATTACAATCCAATTCATAAAGATTCCTAAATCTTCTTCCAACGAACTGCTAACAAGGCTCATCTCTCCAGTGCTGCCCTCATGCAGCTGAGCCTGGCTTTCCTGGTCACCACCCCACTCCTCAGCAGCTAGTGCCTTCTCCCTCAAAATTATCTTGCCTTTCGTATTTAGTATACAAAGATGCGTGTGTGTTGTCTTCCCCAACAGAATAGAAGCTCCTTGAAGACAGAATCTGCTTTACTCTCGTCTTTGTATTTCCAGCCTAGCAGGGCCTAGCATATAGTAGGCTCTTAAATACTTGTGGATTGATTGATTAATCGTTAGATTTTTTTGTTTTGAGCCTAAGTTCAGAATCTGATATTTATGCCTATTAAATATTATCTTGGCTTCAGTCTAGCCTCCCGGCATGCCCAAGTCTTTCTGGATCTTAATTCTGGTCATCTGAAGTATTCGTGTTACCTTGAACCTTAGAAGACTTTTTTTTTTTTTTAGGGAGGAGGCAAGGCTGATCTTGTGATTTTTTGGACTCAAGGGCGCAAACATCTTCACCCAAAATCTGACAGGGGAAAACCAGCCTACGGAGACTTTTAGAATGTCCCTACTTCCCAGTTTTGCAAAGAAATCCCTTTATATCACTGAGCAAATGAAACAACCATCAGGGTTTAGGTTCCCAGATAATCTCAAACCCGCCAGAGGGAGGAATCAGAGAAAGGAGAAAATGCCTCTCTCTCTTGCCTGAAAGAATGAAAGTCAGCCCTCAGGAACAATGACTAATCCTCACCTACAGCCAGTGCCAGGGGAAGAAAGACAAGGAAAGAGCCCAGGAGAATGGAGCCCATCAAGATGAAGGAGTGGGGGGAAGGACGAGTGAAATCCTGACCTTCTGGGGCCATGATGGGACCCACCAGTGCCCAGACCTTCCCCTTTCCCAGAACTGAGTATAGCAGCCAGCTAAGGAGAAAGCTTATTAAAGACACTCTCCATCCCAATGAGAGGGGCCACTCCCATAACATTTGGAGGCAAATTAAATAGACTATGCAGAGCTGCCGGTGCCTGAGAGCTCGTTATTTATAATGCTAGCATAGGCGGCTGTTTTGTGCCGGCCTTCTGTTCCATTTGGATCTCAGTCAGCAGGGTTCTTAGCTTGACTCGTTATAAGGTTGACCATATGTCCCAATAGACAGTGCAGAATTGACGTAGGCTGGGAGAGCAGCCGGGTCGCACTGGGGAAGGTAGCTAATCAATTCTTTCTCACCAAGCCTCATAGGATGGCTATAGATAGAGGGATATAGATATAGATAGATAGATAGATAGATAGATAGATAGATAGATAGATACATAGATACATAGATAGATACATAGATACATAGATAGATAGAGATATGTGTGTATGTATGTATATGCACAAGTACACATATGTATGGGTATATGTATGTGTACATATGTATATATGCATGCATGTGGGGGAGTATGTATTCAGAGCTAAAAGGAACCTTTGACTTCAGTTAGTGTAATCTCTCATTTGACAGATAAGACCCTGAAGCCCACAAAGGATAATGGTTTGCCTAAGAAACAAGATCCAAACCCTAATATTCTGGATTTAATTAATCAATCAACAAGCCTCTGTTAAGCTCCTACTATGTGTCAGGTACTGGAGATAAAATTAAATAGTCCCTGCCCTCAAGAAGAGGGCATATGTCCATATAAATGTACACCTTAGCAAAACATACTGTGGGGATCGTGCCAACTTAGAATACTAAAATTATATAATTGCAGAACTGGAAGGTCATCTGTTTCAACACTTTAATTTTAAAGAGAAGGAATTATACAAAGGTAGGTAGGAAAGGAATAGGCATTTATTGAGCACCTACTATGTGCAAGGCACTATATTAAGCTCTTTACAAATGTTACCTTATTTGATCCTTACAGCAAACCTGGAAGGTATGTGTCATTATTATCCCCATTTTATTGTTGAGGAAGCTGAGGCAGACAGAAATTATTGTTGTTCAGTCATGATGGATACTTTGTGACTTCATTTGAGATTTTCTTGGCAAGATATTGAAGTGGTTTGCCATTTCCTTCTCCAGCTGGTTTGGCAGATGAGGAACTGAGATAAACTGGGTTAAGTGACTTGCCCAAGGTCATATAGCTGGTAGGTATCCAAGGTCAGATTTGAACTCTGGAAGATAAGTCTGTGCACTATGGCAGCACCTAGCTGCCCCAGAGGTTAAATAGCCTGAGTCATATAAGTAGCATCTGAGTTGGGATTTGAACTCAGGGCTTCCACTCTATCCGCTGCACCACTTAGTGTCCAAAGACACAGAGTAATGGCAGCAGGAGCTAATAGCTCAAGCTCCCTGTGCTTTAACCTCTCTCCTGCTCCCATGTCCTAGACTAGGCAGCTGGAATTGCAAGGAAAGAAAAACTCCTAGATGGTAGAGAAGCTGGATGAACTATTATTACCTATACTGGTCAATGCACAATGGAAAGAGCCCTGGCTCTAGAATCAGTCAAGTTGGGTTCCAATCCCTACCTGTTTAACCTGTGGGACTTTCAGAAAATCATTTCACCTCCTTGGGTCTGTTTTCTCCTGGGTGAAAGGAGCAGGTTGGACTAGCCGAGATCCCTTACAGCTCTGGATCTAGATCTAGATCTAGATCTAGACTTCTGGACCCTAGATCTAGATTCTAGGCCCTTTCAGGTCTAGATCTTCTAGCTCTAGACTCTTTACTTGGTCAAGCCTTTGTGAGGAGCTAGACACTGGAATTAGAGAGACACTTCCCCTCTTCCACTGTGTCTTCTCACCAGCATCTCCTGGCTTCTTGTAAGTCCCAACAAAAATCTCATACTCTACAGGACACCTTCCCCAACTCTTCCTTCTTTTCATCATTTCCTGTTTGTCTTGTGGGCAACTAGTTGGCACAGCGAATAGAGCCTTAGGCTTGGAATCAGGAAGATTCATCTTCATGAATCCAAATTAGGCCTCTGTCACTTACTAGCTAGCTGTATGACCCTGGGCAAGTCCCTTAACCTTTGTTTGCCTCAGTTCCTCATCTATATAATGTGCTGGAGAAGGAAATGGTAAACCACTCCAGTATTTTTGCCAAGAAAAACCCCAAAATGGGGTCACAGAGAGTCAGACATGACTGAACAATTTATACTGTATATTAAACCTTTTTCCACCTGAGACCACTTTTCACCTGAGAAATTTTTATATGACCCCACCTATATAGGTATATAAAATAGGTACACAAATAAATCATTTACTGATAATAAATCATAAAGCAATTTATCTTAAAACAATTATTTGGCATACATATAATTTTATCAACTATTTAAAGACAAAAGCAAATTTGCATATGAATGAGATGGATGTTCTTATTTATTTTTACATAAAGAATTAAATCTTGGTGGACATAGAGCATCTTTAATGTTTTTCAGAGTTGATCAGTATTTTGATTGTCAATGCTGAGGACTTCATTTTGCATAAATACTTAGCATAAAATGGCAGAAGTATGCTTAGGGTCATTTCAGAAACTGTTGGAAATTCTGTCTTAATCCCAAGCCAAAATTTATTTAATAATTTTTTAGGAAACTCAAGTTTTAAATCTGTGTCACTTGATAACCTGGCAAATTCTTCTTAAACTTTTCTTGGCAGATGACAGAAGTTTTTTTTTTTCTTATTTCAATCGAGTGTGGTTTATGAACCCAACTTAGTTTTTTAGAATCAAAATTTGAAGGGAAGTATTTCTGAAACTGTATCTCCAGGCACTTCAGATGATCAATTATAACTCATAATTAAATCTTTGGGAAGGTTATTTTCAATTATAAAATCATCTGTAGCTGCAAACATTTCTAAAAAACCATTTTCCACCCTATTCTTCCATATGTTAACTTTTTTAGTAAAACTCTCCATTTTATTTTTTGACATAAATGTGTTACAATTTTTTCCTTG